CACACGAATTCGCATCAAAAAACAAGGCTGCGCCCACCCCCCCAACCTCTTCCCGCGCCACGAAATCTGCACATAGTATCCTTATTTCCTGGTCGGCCACAAAGTCTTATTTTAAACAGGACTCCTGCTGCACGTTAACCTGCCTCTGTTCCGAAATTGATGTCCCTGATCCCGTGGACTCGAGTCCCCCTGTGGGAGTGAGCTTCTGGTGGCTTTTGTTGGGCTTCTCCGCCTTCTTGGCTTTTGGGGGCTTTTAGCATAGGGTTCCGTCTGCTGGCTTTGTGGTCATCTCGTTTTCGGTGCTTCAATGGTTTTCACGGCGATTTCAATTTATATACGTATATTTGAATGCCCCAAAGGCTTGCAATACCAACAATGCACATACAAACGAGCCCAAGACTGCTGCAAATATCAGCAGGTCAAAAACTCACACGCCCAAAACGTTGCCAATACCAGCAGGCCCCTGATCCGAAGCAAGCTGAAAGGCACAATCCTTTTGTTGTCCTGAAACGATGGTTTCTCATCAGACAGGGTGTCTATGAGGCCAAGATGAATGGATTCCACCAAACATGTGGGCCCACGGGTTGACCTGTTTGGGTGGACGGGTTAGGATTCTGGCTTGCCACCAAGGCCGCCATGCGCACCTTGACGGATTTTGGCCGCTGCTCGCAGGGAGGCGCGGCACAGTAGAACACCTACAGTGGCTTTTGATTGGTATTTTCCGAAACTATATATCCAAACAGTATCACAATACAAACTTTCCCACTTGCAGGTGCGCTTCTTCAGGTCATGACACCGTTTTGGACACTAGTGCTAGGGCATTCTCGTCGTGAAGTTACAGAATACGGCTTTTTCATCGTGGCGGTAACAGCAAGGTCCATACACCTTGCGACAAGTCTATGAGGAGGTGGAGGCTGCGGAAGTTCCGTGATCATCATGTACAGTAGTGGGATACTATTGTTCCTTCGGGGCTTCAAGAGTCCAGCTCACTTGGTTTAAATCCCAGGTGGTTCCAGTGAGGATTTTTCAGATCCATCTGTTTCAGTCAGCGAACTTGGCCTGTGCCAGGCGGATATTCAGCACAGGCCACCAGTAGACGTGCCTTCGCAGCAAAGTAACTGTCGTCAGCGCTTGGACCTTCGGATGGAGACGCACCTCAGGTGCGCGCGGTCGCTGGAAAGCTGGGCCCGGAGCTCCTAGGGCCCGGAGTCTCAGTCTCACATGTAAAAGCACGAGGAGCGGTGACCGACTCAGAGTCGGTGACGAGTAACAGTCATGTGCAAAGCAAGTCGGAAACATCCTCAGGAAGAATCACTATTGGTCAATATTGGTCACCTTTTCTGCATGCAACTGCGACATGCCAGGCCTGGTGCCACGCTGGCACGCCGAAACTTGCCCTTTGCACATCCGCAGAGGCTGACATTCAGCGAAGAAGGAAGGTGCTGACAATTCTGCTTAGTTCAACGATGTTACAGTATGTAAAAGTTAACAGCCAAGAATGATCGTTGCACCATGTTGCACCCTAAATGAGAGGGGACTCTGCGTGCAACCGAGCCAGGCTGGCCACCGAATCCATAGAGGTCACTGGTGCGACCTTGACCGCTCGGACACATAGATGTCTTTAGGTCTTTGAATGTCTTTGGAGTGTGGGAGTTCCTCTTTGAGCATGCTGAGGCGTGCAACAACATCTTCAGATTTGCCATTTTACACCAACAAAAGCCGCTCTTCAAAGCTGACAGCGGTGCCATCATCTATTTCGACAGGCCAAACGAGTGCCTTTGATCAGGGAGGGACACACGTTTAGCACAAATTGGAGAGTCAAACCACCCTGATAAGCTGTGTGCCCACCCAAACCACTTGGAGAGCTGATCCCCTTTGAAGCCTCGTTCGCGGTCAGATTCTGGAAGATGAATGACAACTTTAACACAAACTCGTGGCTGCCTGCAGCTCAGAGATTTTCAATCGACGTAGATGTAGTACCGCGGTCAAAAGGGAGGGTTACCAAACGGGCCCTGTTTTGGAAAGACGTGTTGCAAATAAGATCAGGCAAAGTGGCGAAGCTGTTGACAAAAAGAGGGACTGTGAAAAGAATGCACACAAGTGAAAAGAATACACATGTTCATTTGGTGCTTGAAAGAAGGTAGCTGTGTGAGGCCCAGAACAGACTTCTTGCAAACAATGATTCACCTCATGCAATCTCTGGGCTGTTGAACTTTATGCTTTACAGCTTTAGGTTTGAAGTTTGACGGGGACGTTTACTGAAGGAAAGGAGGGCTGGTAGGTTTTTGAATGCTTGTCATGCTTAGATTGAGCCGGCTGGTTCCCATGTGTCCGAACTTCCCAGAAGCTCAGCCCATCAGGTACAGCCCAGTCTCGTCAAAAAGCAAAAGTACTTTGCCTCCGGAAGGCAAATGGACGGTGCAGGGGTCGTGGCCTTGGGTTTGGCTGCCAGTAACGAGCAAGGTGTGAATTGGCTGACTTGTTGGTGCGGCGTCAGGTCACTTGGAGCAACGATTGGCGCTGTACCAACCTCAATCTCATGGAGGATCAGTTTCGACACGGTAAAGATGAAGGGCTGGATGGCCAAACCAGCCCAGCTTTGCTCTTTGTTTTGGCTTGACCCCCACTACTGAGTCCCAACATGATAAGTTTGAAAGAAGGCTGGTGTAGCTATGCAGCCCAAGCAAAGTTCACGCCACTAAGAATCCCCCAGAGGGTAGTAGCATGGTGGCTGTTTGCGACAGAAAGAGCTGCTTGAGGTTGTTTGATCAATGGAATATCGTCTTAGGAGCAAGGACGCTACTAGGGGCTCCTGGCATCGCTACTAGGAACAAGAAGCTACTAGGGGCTCCTGGCCTTACTACTAGGAGCAAGGATGCTACTATATCGTCTTATATAGTGCTCCAAAGTGTTTGACACTCCGAGCTCATCGGCTGATGGAGAACCGGAATCCGCTCCCAAAGGCTCCGACCTTGAAAATGCCCGAGCCAAAACGAGGTCAGGCCGCTGAGGTTTTCAGATTTGGACCGACTTTTGGGGGACATGTGCTTTGGAGGGCTCTTAGAACAATGTTCGCTACTAGGGGCTCCTGGCATCGCTACTAGGAGCAAGGACGCTACTAGGGGCTCCTGGCCGTACTACTAGCAGCAATGTTCGCTACTAGGAACAAGAAGCTACTAGGTTGGAGGAACAAAGGTGGAGCATGATGAGATATGATGAGCATATATGAGCATGGCACTCTTGTGGGGTCTGAAGGGAACCACTTTTGAACCGACATCACGGTCTCACTCTGTGGCACGGCTCGAGTGACTCATCAGCGGCAGGGGCTGTTTGTACAAGGTGAGAGCCGAGAGTCATCCCAAAGTCGGTGCCCAGTGGTCTTGGCTTTTCCAAGGGATCATGATCGGATGTGTCACAGCATGTACTTTTGGACAACTACTGGGGGGAGCAGTGGCAACTGTTTGACTCTGCCCACATGTTCAGAGAAGTGACTCGAACATCACCAAAACAGACAGAGACAGATACTTCGTACATATGATGCGGTCAGATACCCCTTAGAATCCTTAGATACCCCTTGGTGCAAATTGCGATACGCCCGTCACCTGGTCAGGCACGCAGAGTTCCGTGGCGTGAGGGGCTCTCAGCGACCAATCATCTTCGTCGACCCGATCGACCGGATCGACCGGATCGACCGGATCGACGATCACGGAGACGATCTCATGAAAACATTGAGTTGGAGGTGGAAAGGTTTTTTTTCCAGGTCAGGCCGAAAGGCTTTTTTTTGAGGACCGAACAGTAAGCACGGTTCACAGGTCCACGTCTCTCGCTTGCCCTGGAGACCATGTTGACCTCATTTTGCTGGCTTTGCTTGGCAGAAAATCCTACGGACAACACACTTTCATGAGATACAAGTCTTTACTGGACCGAACCCCTTCATCTCGTCTCGTCTCAGCTCATCTCGCTGTCGGGCGTCTCGCGACACAGGTCAGAGCGAGCTCGTAGTACCGGGACTGGGGAAAGCTGCAAACGAGTTGGGACGCTGCGAAAGCTTCCATCGACAAAAAACGGACAATGACAATGTCATGCTTAACATGTCAATGCATTTGTTGTTCACTGTGTTCATGACTATAGTTTTGGATGCAACTCAGAAGCATCTTCCTTTAGGACCTTTAGGATACTTTGCGGGGCCTCTTGTCACAGACCTGGCATGCCCTAACCTCCTACTGTAAATATTCAATTTGATAGATATTGGACAGCTTCAGGCACGCAATGATAGGTGCTTTTTTTGTATGATACAAATGTGAAAGTGCAGCAAACATTGGAGAGTATTCTGAATAACTTTGTAGTTAGTGAGATGTTCTGAGTAGTCCAGCGATTCTAGCTTGCCTTTCGCAGAAAATATGCTCCACGCCTTCTGGGGGTGTTGGCTTCAGTTTTGCCTGAGCCCATGCCTCCACCGTTCCTTTAGGAGCCTTCCTTATTGCACTGCTTGACAGCCCGGCTTGTTTGCATAGAGTGCTTGCAGAAATGAACTGGGTGGCATTCCCATTGCAAGAACAGTCCTAGATCCACAGGTTCCAGAGAGGGGTTGTGCAGAATCGGAGAAGGCCATGGATGCCACATTGAACCCTGAAAGACCCTATATAATTAGTTGCTTCTATCATCTTCTATCTCTATCCATCATATTTAGGACCAGAACGTAGAGCTTGACAAAACATGAAATCACGAGCCCTATACCCAATTTGCACTTTGTATCCATACCTGTCCATATGTGGAAACAGGTTTCAGACTCTCGATCGGACATAGACATGACCTTTTCTTAGCCGCCACAAACATATTACTGTAAAGAGAGGATATGGATGTTGGTATATATGTATTACTTATATATCTTGCTCGAATAGTAGAGGAAATGACAGTCAATCTCAACCCTCAGTCATGTAAGCAGAGCTGACAGTCAACATTTTCGCACTGCCCCCATGTAGCTGGGTGGCGTGAGAAGCATGGCCGCCTGTGAGGAGGACCAGAAAGAAACTACAACACGACCTCGCAAAATGTGAATGAATGACCTTGGACGTTGGAAACGGATTTTGTGAGGGCGACTGAATGACCATTGGAGTCCTCTTGGTCGCTACAGTCGCTGCGCGCGCGTGCGATCTCGCAGGGGCCGGTGGAGCTGCAGTCGCCCTTCCTGGAGATGCCGGAGCTGCCGGAGCTCTTTGCGGCTCTGGGCGAAGGTATGGGAGGTCCACCACCTGGGATCCCTGCAGCACTCTGGGGCAGCATGTGCAAAAAGCGCCCGGTTCTTAGTCTTTTCAATGAACCAACAGCTCAAATCAGCTCAATTCACCATCATCAGACCAAGGCTTGCAAGATATGCATGAAAGCAATCATCTCACGGTGTCAGAGCGCGAGGAGCATTTGACCAAGAGGCCATGCATCGTGCCGCCTTTTCGGTGCCGGCGGATGCCATAAACTCCAACCTAAGAGCGGAGGTAGATACTGTAGAACATGATGGCCAAAGCTTTCCTTAGGGTTGCTAGCTGAGCTGCAGCTGGACAACATGGTAGTTGGTGACTCGTGCACCTTTGTGATGAGGCAATTCCACGTGCCTGGCCGGGGCAAGAGAACCTTAACGTTGCAGGAGGATCCGACAGGCGTGGATGTGAGTCTTTGGACATCGCCAGGCATTGTAGGCAATTTTCTATTTCTATGATCTTCTATGCTGGCTGTTTTGAGCCACCACTTTTGGTTTTTGCATTCATGCATGCCAGCTGGCTGAAGATCTGACAGGCAAGTTCGGAGGTTCGTGTGGCTCGGGCACGGTTCTGTGGCCAGCAGCAATGGCTTTGGTCGAGCATTTAGATGGGGAGGCCGGACTCGACGAATCGATGCGGTGCGACGAAGCCGGCCAAGGGATCTTTGGGCCGACGAAGAACGTGATTCCTTCGACGATACAGAATGATACAGACATCGACATCGACACTGCCGAACACCGACTGCTTCAGGTGGAGAAGAGTTGCTTGAACTGCCGAGTCCTGGAGCTTGGCGCCGGCGTTGGTGCCGTGGGCCTCTTCTTAGCACTCTTCAAAGGCTGCGAGGTGTGGCTCACCGAGGCGCCGGACCGAGCGACCGCTTGGACCACCGGACAGACGGGCGCCCGAACAGCGCCCGCCTCAGGCGCCCGAACAGCTACCGCTACTGGTGCGGAATGTGAATGAGAATTCGCCAGATGGACTGGACCTGCAGGCGATTCTTTTTTGAGCTTTCTACAGCTGACAATTCTTCTAGCTAGGTCATTCGCGTGACAGCTGCAGGTTGCACCTCTCAAGTGGGGTGACAAAGAGGCACTTGAGCAGCTTGCAGCTCTTGGACGCTCGGTTTGTGGATGCTGGACGATGTGGCCCACCTTTGGCAAATATTTCTGGCCCAATCCAGAGTGAAATGACTTGGCATTTACGCGGATTTACACTCTTGCTGTTTTCTTGCCAAGCTGAATTGCGCCTTGTGCATAGGGCCAACGTTAAGCTCTGCGGCCTGTCCTGGCCAAACGTATCCTGCTTTTGCATCCAAGGCCGTTTTGACATGATTGTTGGGAGCGATGTGACTTACCGTCCGGAGTGTCTCAGCCACTTTGATGCACAGCAGGAAATACTGAGCTAAATGTTGTGAGTTTACACCAAGCGCCTTTGGGATCAACACGAAAGGATCATTCCGCGTTCCAAGTTCCAGTGATTTCCATGAAACTGACACGGGCTAACTGGTAAGGTGATTTGCTGAGCACCGCTCACCAGCTCATGTCCCCACAGGGGCGCTTTTTTCTCAGCCTTCAAGACCGGCCAGGTGGGACTTGGTGGATGACCTTGACTTGACCTTAACTCCACTGGTAATAATAAGGATTCCGGATGGTGATAAGGATGTTATACATGTGTCCTAGTAGCTACGAACGGAGCAAAGGGTATCGCTACGAACGGAGCAAGGACGCTACGAACGGGGCTCCTGGCCATACTACTCGGAGCAAAGACGCTACGAACGGAGCTTTTGTAAAGGACCATGTATACTGGACGTTTTGTCAAGGACCATCCATGTGGACCACCAGAAGGACTGGACCTTGGGGCCTTTTGGAGTCGAAGATTTGGTCCACGAGACCAAGGTTCACCAATTTGCCCACTTCGACAAGGTGACAAACACACACAACATATGGTTGGAACATCCATCCACACCCATCGATGTTTCTGCCTCCGACCTTCATGTGCTTCGCCCGCTTCACGGCAGGTGAAGCGGAACATCTTGAAGCAGCGCTCAAAACGAGCTCCCTTCAGATACGCGGCGAGGCCCTTCGCCGAAAGGCAAAGCTCCAAGGCGGAATGGGTTTCTAAAGTCGAGCGATTATTTGCGGAGAGACACGACATGTTCATTCACAAGCCACCTTTTGGGCAGGAGCAGAGGAAGTCTGAGCCCTAGCAGTAACGTGCAGTCCATTGAAAGCACGATCGTTTGAAGGCGCTCGTATGCGCTTGTAATAACCAACTCTGTGTTAGTTGATTCGAGTTCCTTAGGCTCTGGCTGCTTTGGTGGAGGGAAGGATGGCCATTGGCGCCTCTCTCTCTCTCTCTCTCTTTGTGTGTGCACATACATAATTCACCATTCACCATGCCATCCCACACCTTTGGCCATCTCAAGTTCAAAAGGGGGGACAAAATCTGTATATATACTTGATGGTTTCTTTCTCCAACCTGTTCAAGCCAAGGTTTTGTGGTTCTCAGAGGTGTTTCGAACCAGTGGCATGTTGAATAGACAGCTCCCCCACGGCTCCTGCGGCTCCTGCGGCTCCGTCTCAGGTCTCTGTACTGATTTTTGAGCTTTGTCACGTTGGTGCTGAGCCACGGGTGGTGAGGCACGCCCTGCCTTTCTGAAGGATTTGATTGCCAGCCACCAGTCTGTTACTGTTACTTGTCGAGACCGATTCGCCGATTCCTTTTGGGCTCTAGCAAGCATTCCCGTTCCTTTTCCTGGCCAGCATCTGCTATTTGGGCAGTCTGGAAGGTCAGGTCTGGGAGTGCAGATTTGATCCGGAAGCGCGATGCCAGAGTTGTCTGTCAAATGGGTGCACCAGAGTGAGTCGATCTGTCATACTGTTGCTGAAAGGATAGGAATCTGCGCAGAATCCCTTGAGGACGTCATTCTGTGTCGCCTAAACCCTAAACCTGACTGAGCCGAGCGGGCCAAGCGCGGGCCAAACGCGGGCCTATCGCGCGTTAGGCAATGCTTCGCCTTGTCATTTCGTTCTTGGTGGCCACCAGTGCAGCTGCCATCTGGCCCAAGCCGCGCTTGTTCAGGCGAGGGGGTGGGTGGGAGGGGGTCTCGCAGTTTGAGCAGCTCACAAGACATGGCAACACAACACCAGAAGCCAGGGATAGAATTTAGCTACGTTTATACTGGACTCTAAAGTTCCGTCGAGAGGAGATAGGGTTCCAATTTCTAAGCTGCAGGAATGGCACCACCACGATTGCTTTGAACCCTCAGTCTTACAGCTCCTTGATTGCAAGCAGGGTCATTTCTGATTTGGAGAGCTAGTGGGAAGGTCAAGACGCCCAATGATTTGGTCAAGTCAAGACCACCCCTTTTGGCTCACCGGCTGAGCTGGATGTGAGGCTTCCAAGCTGTGACCTCCACCCCGGAGCTGCAAGATGCTTTCCAGCGCCTTGGATGTGCAATTCGAAGTCTGAAGTGTCCGACAATCCTCAAGGCCGTTATGGCTCGCGTCAGTCCTGACAACCTACAGGCGGTACAAGTCCATCTTCTTTCCGCATGCATCTACACCTGCCAAGACGGCTGTCGACTGTGGATTGGTGGTTGACATATTAGCGGCTCGGCTGCTGGGTGACGAGTTGTCCGACCAGATTGGCATCTTTGGCTTGCCAGACATAGTTTCAGGGTTTGGACTAGAATGACAGGATGGCTGATTAGTAACACAATGACAATTGGGTAGTTAGGCAGTTGGCAACCCTGCTAGTGTTTCTCGGCATGTTTTCTGATTTGAAAGGACACCACAAGTGCTCTGCAACTGGGCGTTGACGAGTCCTACACTCTGGAGATGTGGATGGGGTGATTTGTTGCTTTGGTTGTCGGGAGATGCTATTCTCAATTGTGGTGTCTGTGGATATATAATGATATACAAATATATAATAGACATACATGTACTGTATATTATATATAATTATGTACGTTTTGTTTCGACGGGCTCATAATCTGTTGCAGTTGATGCCAACCAATGCCTGCTGCTGTCCGGGTCTCTGCCGGGCAGGACGTGGACCTCGATGGCATCACGGTCATTGCAGCCAAGACTGTTTGGGGAGCCCTCCATGGCTTGGAGACGATGTCCCAGCTCATTGAATTCAATTTCAAAACAGGCCATGGCCGCCCATGGACGGCTAGATGGGACAGCGTTACTCGTTTTGCTGGGGATGGCCCGGTGGCAGTGCAGTTTGGTGTTAGAAAGTGACCCTTGAAAAGTGTGTTCTGAAGTGACCCTGCTACACCGCCGTTTGATTTGGCCTCTCCCTCTGCGCGTTCAAGAACAGTTCTGATGATGGCACGGTTTGCACGTTCTAGGCCAATATTCAGTCTCTGGCATCCCAGTGCATATTGAAGACAAACCTCGTTTCCAGCATCTTGGCAGTACCTGTGAAAGCACACCTGACTGATTGCATGTTGATGTGAACCAAGGGCTGACTCTTAGACTCTTAGATTGTCCGAACTCTTGAGATCTCGAAAAAGCGATCGAGGCATCGTGGGCTTTTGATCGACTCTGGTCGCCATTTTGAGCCTATGGTACACGTGAAGGCCATGATTGACTCCATGACTTATGCCAAGCTAAACGTGCTTCACTGGCACCTCACGGAGGAGGGAGAACGATCGACGGGCGACGCAGGACGTGTCCAAAATGGTTTGACCATGTTGGACCACTGATGCACCGCTGAGCGCTCAAATAGTAGCAATGGCCTCCAACCTACTAGCGATGGCCTCCAACCTAAGAGCGATGGCCTCACACCTGATAGCCATGGCCTCCAACCTAATAGAGATGGCCTAAAACCTGGCCTCCAACCTAAGAGGGATGGCCTCCAAAATAATAGAGATGGCCTCCAACCTACTAGTTACTAGCGATGGCCTCCAACCTACTAGCGATGGCCTCCAACCTACCGGCGACGGCCTCCAACCTAAGAGGGATGGCCTCCAACTTAATAGCAATTTTGCGCATGATGTGACTGATGCAATCCACATTTACATTAGCTGTATCCTGGACGTGATGCCCTTGTACCTTTGTTGGGTACCACGGTAGGATGTTGCGCTGGAGGTTGATATGGTACAATCCAAAACATTCAATCCTCTTCCTGACATGCAGTAGCTTGCCCATCCTTCGGCACGAGGCACTGGCACTTGGTACATAGGTTGCTTCCAGCCGTGGCAAGGACGAGTCCTTTCCCATTGCAAGCCGCGTATTCCCAGAGCTGCCGGAGAAGGGTGCTTTCAACGACTTTGAACAGCATCCTGGCAGGAAACCTATGTCAGGTTGGGTGTAGAGATTTCTTGAAGTTGCAGCTGGAACGGGGAAAATGAAGACTTCCTTGCAGAATCCAACTGTAGGAAGTCATGACGTTTCCGGAAATGCCAGCCGCGAGCTAATACTAGATTCGCAATCTTTTTTTGGATGCATTTTAGGGTTAACATACTATGAATGATCCAACAGGTGTCATGTTGGATGTCACATTTTAAAATGATACCTTCAATGCGTAAAGTCCTATGTTACAATGGGGGAAGGGTTTGTTTCACAAGAAACTGATTAATGCGAAGTCGGCAGGACATACCTTTTATCCTGCTTGGTTGTTAAAAAGCCAAGCGCATTTCCCTGAAAGGGCCATCAGGAAGTGACTGGTGAACAGTTTGATGAAGTAGGTTGAACCACGACCTGAAATTTGGTTCCCAGAGACACGACCTTGGGAACAGCGCTTGACTGTTGACTCTCTACCTTTTGCGTTTGACGGCTGCTTCTTCTCTGGGAGGTGTTGAGAGAGAGAGAGGGGAGAAAACAACGAGAGAGAGCGCAGACAAACTTCAAGCAAGGACTTTCTGGGACTTGTTGAAGTCTGCGTTATTTTTTGTGGGCGGTACAACAGATCTGACAAAGCGAGGACTTTCACTAGTGCCTTGATTTAGAGATAAGCACACAACCACTAGGATGCAGCAAGACAGTCTCAGTTGTAAAGAAGGACAGTAAAAACGATGCTTGGGCTATGTCACCTGTTCATGATGGAAATGACAAAAACCATCAAGTACAACTTGTAGAAAGTGTGAGTGTTTCTACTCTTCGGAGTGGCCAAACTTTCACTCAAGTGACGAAGTGTGAAATTGGATGAAACCCACATGTACACCTGGGCGTTGTGTGGAGGTACACCTGGGAAGACATCGTTGATGTGGTGGAGACCTTCGGCTGAAAATCCGTTCAATCCATCTCCGCTGTATGTCCTTGGGATTTCGATCTCTCGGTGGCCCTTGCGGAGCCTGCGGAGTCTGTGGGATGATCAGTCTACATCGACAAACACAACATGTTTTGACGCAGTCTAAGCAACTGATCCAATACTTTGCAAGGTATGCCCGTCGTCGTGGGATCCGCGTGATTCCAGAGTTTGATATGCCGGGACATTCCTCTTCCTGGAGGACTGCCCTTCTTTGCTGCAGCGCATGTGCTTGACGCGATTCCGATTTCGTCCTTTTGTGGCCAGCGATGAAGCCCGGACCGTCCGACCGACCGTTTCATTCTTTGGGGAGGAAATCACATCCCGAAGTTTTTGCTGAAGGTGCCGTGACCAACTTTGGACATGACAGTGACGAGGAGTCGGCCTCAAACCAATTCGAATCTGCAATGTACACCTCTAGTAGTATGGCCAGGAGCCCCTAGTAGCGTCCTTGCTCCAAGTAGTAAGGCGAGGAGCCCCTAGTAGCTTCTTGCCATACACCGTACCTCAATATAACTTTGTGTGTAAGCCAGAGTGGACACATCATGACTGGTTCCAGAAACTCAAGACATGTCAAGACGGAAGCTTTGCCGTGTTGGGTTGTTGGGCAGGTTGTCTGAGCGAGTCCTCCCGCGGGGCCTTTGACCCTGCGAAGAATGCAACCTTTGAATTGTTGGAGGCTGCGAAAGGATGTGTTCGTTATAAATAAGGAGTTGCTTCCCAGGAACCACGCTGGAATCAGCAGGGAATTGCTTGTTCGCAGGACATGAACGTGGTTATATAATGTGTTATAATGTTACTATACTGTATAGATTCGGTCCGTCTTTTCCAGGCATTGTATGTTGGCAAGCCTGACATGGCACAGACAGACATGGTCAGACATGGTCACATTTCAGCAATGATGCACACGGCGCTATGTCGAGCACCAAAAGTATTCATGTCTCAAGTCGACCTGCCAGGCAGCCTTGCAGGACTGGAGCAAAATGTTCGTGGATGGCTTTCTGCACCTGGGGAGCGACGAGGTGCCAGCCAATTGCTGGAACAACAGCAAGGACATCGCTTGGATGAGCCTTGGTGGCAGGGCCTCTTTGTTGTTTGGCCTTTCCCAGAGAGCACCCATTTCATTTAGAATTTTGTTTGAAGTCTTTAAACGCTGCTAGAAGAGTTGACTTCCAATCGGAGCCAGTTGTTGGATCAGTTAAAGTGCGCGATTGGCACTGTATTGTGGAGAACATTCCTCGTGCCCGACCAAGCTTGTGATCCGTTGGTTCGAACGGCTACTATCCGCCTCTGACCAGCTAGGAAGACCATGGGCTTCTCCAACTCCTCGGAGGTCCGGCGTCTCAGTTATGGCTTTCGGACAACAGAGAGAAGGGGCCACCTTCAGGACCCCAAACCTCAGGTTTTCAACTACTTTGTGAACAAAATGGTGAACATTAGCAAGAAGTTGGGCAGGGAGACCATTCTTTGGGATGTGCCTCGGCTGCACAAGCGTGCGGAAATGGCCGTTTGGTGGCATGTCAGCATTTGAGCAGTCCAAGGAAGCATTCCTTTCGGCGAAGCCACCACAGGACAAGCAGATGTTGCAGAGGTTTGAGCAAAACTGCCTGACATGTGTGACGCCTTGGGTGGGAACACAACATGACAATACATGAAATCACAGGCTTGGGCAGCGGCAGCCCATGTAGCTAGTAGGTGGATCCTTTGATACGAGTTTTAGCAAACGCTTCCCCAGCTGCTTTTCCCGAGTGCACTAAAGATAACAAATCACCATTGGCACCATTTGTCTCTCCTGGCCAGGAGGCCGTGATTCAGAACTGGCATGATGCATCCCTTCTTCAGAAGATCGTAGATGCTGGTCTCTCGTATGCAGGTTGGCCAGTTCATGCCTTTTGGGTCTCCGACCGAAACGCATCGAGTCGGACGGGACCATCGAGTCCGTCGAGACCGAGTCGAGCTGTGCCACGTGTGGGGCTCTTCGCATCCTGTGAGGAGCCCCTACAGTAATAGCGTCTGATCGCTCTAGTAGCGATGCCAGGAGCCCTAGTAGCGTTCTTGCTCCTAGTAGTAAGGCCAGGAGCCCCTAGTAGCGTTCTTGCTCCTAGTAGTAAGGCCAGGAGCCCTAGTAGCGTTCTTGCTCCTAGTAGTGAGGCCAAGGAGCCCCTCGCAGCGTTCTTGCTCCTAGTAGTGAGGTTACAGGGCTGTGTTCTCCTCCAATGGTGGCTACACAAATGGCTGCTCGGCAGAACCTTTGGATCAACTTCCGCCGTTTTAGAGTATCTGTTGCACAGGTGTAGATGTGCAGGGGTTTCTCAATCATGATCCATGAAAGCCGTTCTCCACACGGATTCAGGATGGTACCTTGATGGTTTGAAAGCCACATGGCAGAACATGTATGCGGCTTGACTGAAACACTGGAAGGTTTGCAAGATCGGCTTTTCTGCTACTCAGCTTCGCAAGTCCAAACGATCAGGTCTTGGAGCCTTTGAACAACATCAGTGCGGAGAAAGCTCACTTGGTGCTGGGAGGTGAAGGCTGCATGTGGGGCGAGCACGTCGAGCCTTGGCAGCCCAGCTCGTTCTCCGCCCGGTGAACGAGTTCAACTCGTGGAACTTACTTCACACTTGGCAGTGATCCTTCCACTTGTATAACAGCTTCACTTGAAAGCTAATTGGTAGAGAAGGCAGATGAAAACAGCACTGTCTCCATGATTCATTGCCAGACTTCCAGGCACCACGTGAAGACGAACATCAGACGTACACATACTTCACGTTCCAACTTAGTACTTACTAGTATCTTGGTTCTTGAAGCGCTGCGTTTTGGACTCCTCACCGGGATCCTTCGGATCCTTCCCTTTTTTTGATTTGGTCCCGTGTTTTGTCTGTTTCACAGGACCCCTCCGACTTCGAGTTCACCGTGTGGCCCCGCCTCGCAGCCATTGCCGAGCGCCTCTGGAGCGATCGTGAGGTGAATTCTACCGCGGAGGCTCAGCCGAGGTTGGAAACCTTCAGGCGCCTTCCGCGACCAGGGAGCGCCCGGGGGGGAGCGCAGCAGGTGCGCGCTAATCTAAATAGAACGCGTGGCGAGGGTTGGGGATTGGGTGGATGGATCGTCTCAGCTCTTTTTTTTGCAATCCCATTCCACTTGAACGATCTGGAAATCCAATCGCACTTTTTGGTGTTTCTGTGTTCAGGCTCTCTTGGAAGCTTGAGGTCTTTCTCTTGAGCTCGTGGAAATGAAGTCATTGGTTTTCACTCCACCCCTTGACCATTCCCAGCGTCCAGGTGTCGCCTGTTGTCCCGTGGGGTGCACACTGGGATCGTGGGTGGGAGCGGCCGCGGCACACCACCGGGTCCTGGATCATGCACGCAGCAGGGGACATCCGAGGCAGGGGAATAGGGTCTGAGTACAGCACTGAGCACAGATTCAATCACAAGGGATCAATATACCCAGTGTATTTGCTGGTCTTTGACAGAAACAGCCATACCAAGACGTTGGAGTATCTGTGAGGGACTAGATCCGCAGTACGCAAGAATACATGCAGAGAATGTCTCTATTTTTAGGGTAATGATACTGCTTTGGAACCTAGCAGACTGCAACTGCAAGTCAGAGAAGAAATCTTCATCTGAAGTTGTTGCACCACGAAAGCCAATGAAAACCAAACTTTGGACCAGGAGCAGATTTTCGTCTGAAGTTCGGATAGGACCGTTGCGGGAGAGACTTTCCTTGGGACTGACAGTGAAGTCAAGATTCAAGATTCGGAGATAGCGCTGATCAAATGCAGTGAATGGAAACCATGCATGGAACCAGAACCATAATATCAACTTTTTGGTTGCCATGTTTACAGCAGCTTTGCATGCAGCCAGTGAGTGTCAGGGCGGGGTGATAGACCATTTTGATCCAACAACTTTGGAAGGAAAGACACGTCGAGGATTGTCCATCAGCATGAGGAGGTCAATTTTGCGCAGCAGCAGCAGCGCTGCGGAGCTGCGCAAGCGTTCAGAGCAGTTGTGGAAAAGGATGTTGCAGCTATCATTTGTAGTCATTTGTGGGCTGGACACAGTGAGACCGTTTAAAGGACAACACCAAGTACTTCGTGTGTACATTGAGGGTTTTGGATCTTTCAACCCTCCGCTGGTCAAATGAATCCTTGTCCTCGGTGTGCAGGCCTCCTCAAGCAACAGGAGATGTCGAGGCACGTGGGGTCTCCAAAGACCTGCGTCGAGCTGTCTAGCTAGCTCCAAGAGATTCTATACTTCCAAAACACTTTTGACAACCTGCCCAAACCCAATCAATACAATGATCTCGGCGCATATTCAATGATTCTTTTTACGGGAAGCCTGTTCTGCGATATCGGAGGTTCTGCATGGTGCTACTAAGTTCTTGGAACCTAGGAAGGCAGATACACCTGTGAAGCTTCAGCATAGCAAGCCTCTTGTCATTGTTGATGGTCGCCAAATGTGTTAGCAACATCCCTGAAAGGTACAATTTCTTGTGGAATCATGTGAGCTAAGCTCGTAGTAAAGAGGTCGTGATTTTCTGGAATTGGGCTAAAACCTGCAAAAGCGATAGGACCCCCTCAAAAGCGAACCTTGCTGAATCATGTCCTCTACTTGACCGTACGTTTTGGCCGACGCTCATGTGTCGATATGTGTCGAACTGAGTCACTGATGCATGCGGCATTCTCTGGTTCTCCTTGCTTCCTCAGGAGGAGTTCTTCCGGCTGACGGGCATCAGGTGCGTGTGCGTGACACGCACCCAACTTAAGTTTCCCTAAAGCTATGGGGACCAAATGAATAGTGCGAGCGCTTCTTCAAGGAAGCTCGTGAGCTATCCTGTGTCCAGTTAGCGTAGTAGTCAGGTACCAGCTACCTCTCCCTTACCCAATTAAGTAGGCGCCTACTTAATTAAGTAGGGAGGAGGGGAAATGGGCCGCCTGGTTTGGAATGGAAAGGTCCCTATTTAGCCAGAGTTTTTGTGCATCAACTTTACATGTTGTCGGCAATGCCGGTTTCCACGAACAGCATCAACCTTGCATCGGATTGTGCAATGCTTGAGGGTGTTTTCCACTGGCTTGCTCAGAGTGGATGTCCAGGCCCGATCCTGTGGTGTTGCCCAAGCGTGACAAGCCAGCTGTGCCGGGCTTGGGCATTTGAGATGCGCCGAAAGATGCTGTCATGCTTGTTGGAGCTCATTTTGTGAGAACACCAAGAAAGGGGGATTTCGTTGGTGAACTGGTAACGACAAAATTGGCAAAGGTGTCGAGCA